GTTATTACAATACAATTATCACCAATCTTCAATCTTCAATATTCTAAGTCTTTAGTTCTTGGATCATCATCAAAATCCATTCTTCATATTCATCAAGTGCAACATCAAGTCCTTGAATTGTCAATAGGGTGTTCTTGTCACAATGACCATGCTTAAAGCAAAATGTCATCCCACCTTCAAAATTCCATATGCCCTCCTTGTCTCCCGTATTCTTGAATATAAAGGAGTGAATGTTGAAGGTGAACAAGCTGTTAGAACAAATAACTTAAATCGCATGCTGGACAGCACATTGATTCACCTCCAAATGGTGCGGGTCAATGACATTTATGTTCACAAAGATGACGTTCCTAATCAAGGTGATGCAAATGAAGACTCTGATGAAGATATGCCTCCAGCTACTGAGTTTCCCTCTGACCAAATCCAAAGTGTTGGAACTTCCTCTACTCATCATGAAACAAGACAATGCATGGAAGACATGTTATCTGACATGAATAAGAGGATGCAATCATTTTTTAATCTTTCTGGAGTACGACATGAGGAGCTGATTCGCCGTATATCTGATGTAGATGATAAAGTGTGTCGTTTAGAAAATAGATTTGATGCACACTTTAATGATGATGATAGTGCAGAATTTTAAATTTTGTTGAGTATTTTCTTTTGTTATTGCTTTGTGATTGTAATGAATAATTGTTTCTGCAATAAAATATGATGTTTCTTTAATGCTTTGATTGAGGGGGAGTCTTCTCCAACTTATGCATATTTTGAGGGGGAGCTCTTATGATTGTTATTGCAGAGCGCTTTTTGATTATAATCAAAATAGGGGGAGAAAAATTTAAAGCCTCTTATGAATTGCATTTAAATATTATCTGGTATGTTTAATATGTTTGTTAGTATGACAGATAAAACATGTTATTACAAGGGCTTTAAAAGATAATTTTGATCATCATCAAAAAGGGGGAGATTGTTGAACATTCAAGGACTTGATGTTGCACTTGATGAACATGAAGATTGTTGATTTTGATGATGATTCAAGAACTCAAAGACTTAGAGTGTTGAAGACTTGTTTTGTATTGTAATAACTCTTTTTTAATTAGATTGAGTCTGTAATATTAGAGTTTAAGATAGCCGGTACATAGTCTGCACCTTAGAAGCTTCAAAAAGCCCAAATATATCATCCAGGCTCGGCTTTAATCGATTATATAGGGAAATAATTGATTAAAATAGTGAGAAAACCATTTTCTGTATAAACTCACTGCTTTAATCGATTAAACTTCAAAATAATCGATTATTACGTCTGATAATCGATTAAAACGCCTAATAATCGATTAAAACAGAAAGGTTTTGGGTTCTGTTGTTTTTGGCTCTGTTTTAATCCATTATAACTCCATTTAATCGATTATTTCAGTCTGCTTTTGATTTTAAACTTCAAATTAACCCTATTTTCGAAAACCCAATTACCAAGAATCCTAGTTTCGAAATCCCCAATTCCTAAACCCTAGTTTCTCTACTTAAACTCTTCTTTGGCACTCAGAAAAGGAGAACAACCTTTTCCATACAAAAGTTAAGTGTTGTGAGTGCCAGAGAACTGTTTGTTGCAAGGAAAAGAGGCTTTTGGAACCTGGTGTGGGCTAGAAGCGATAATAATCACTAAGTGGAGTTCTTAGTGGATTGTGTGTTGTGCCGTCTCTAGGGAAAGCTGTTCATCATCTCTTGTGGATTTCAAGAGAGGTGTTTTCGTATCTTTATCTTTTCAATTGTAATCTGTTTGTAACAACTTATTTATAGTGACAGCGTTAATCCTCTATTGAGTGATTAGCAACTGGACGTAGGGTCTTTTGATCCGAACCAGTATAAATCTCCTGTGTAAGATTCTCTTCTCTTCTCTATTTACATTTACACAGTTTTTAATCGGTAAAATTTGGGGAAAATTTTGAAAACCTATTTTTTATTAAGAAACCAATTCACCCCCCCTCTTGGTTTTTGTCCGACCACGCGATCATTCCGCTGCGCGATTCCAACAAGACGGTCGTCTCGCCACTTTCCGAAGGCTAGACCACTGTCCCATTTGGCGAGACGGCGGTCCTGACCTGACAGGTGCGAATTCCTATAAAAGGGGAGACCTTCTCACTCTTTACACAATTCTACAACTTTCTCTACTGTACTACTCTCAAATTACTCTCCTAGGACCCCTCTAAAGCATTTCCAGAGTTCTTAGAAAGCGTTCTAGAGTGCTGCGAGAAAGAGAGATCATCATTGTAGAGTTTTGGGATTGCCAAAAAGCACCCTCTTTCAAGAACATACTATAAAAACTTGCTTCGAAGGTTCCTATATACTCCTTTTTCTATTTTATTGCTTTTTAGATAATATCGTTGTGAATTAGTCATTTAGGGCCATGTAGTCAATAACTTAGTTTCTGCAATGAATAAATAAGGTTAAAAGCGTAATTTTATAGTTATTATTGCTTTATAAAAACGGTCCATCATAGGGAACCTGAAAGGGGCATCGTAGGGAAGCTAATATCTTCCCTACACGTAACTAACTCCCTTACCTAACTCTGGTTGTAATGACCAAAGTTGGTTTTTCTTAAAAAACCACTGTCTTCTTTTTTCCTTTTCCAATGATTTTGGTAAAAACATTGGTGGCGACTCCTCGAACCTTTCGAAAACCTCACTTTTAGGTCCAGCCCGGTTATCGGACAACCTAAAAAGCATTGAACCACACTTTTAAAAATGCGAGTCAAACAAAACCATCGCATTGCTCCGACCGCCTCTTTTGACAGTGGCGACAATCTCCAAGGTATTTGCACCACCAATATTCTCGGTTCCAAGGATTCTTCCTTTATTGCTGTCCCCATAGGTTACATATCCTTGTTCCTTTGCTTTGAAACTCATAAATTTCTTTTTATCTCCAGTCATATGTCTTAAACACCCACTATCAAGATACCACATAGACTTCTTGGATTTGGAAGTTTCCTACAAAACAAGAATATAATAATCTTAGGTCCCCATAACTTTTGGGTCCTTGGGGTTAGAGACAAGCAAATCATTT